TTTCAGAGGGAGGCGGGCTGAGATTTTGAGGGACTCAAACAACATGGGGAGGAGCTGATCCATGCCAATGAGGACACCGCAAAGGTCACCGTCACCATCCGCACTGCCAAGAACCCCAAGCAGCCAAGCGTCTCACTGTAGTCAATGGGACACCAACAAGAGGCAGTATAAGTATCCTGGTAATTCAAAAACTTCAAATAGAATATCCTCTCTCTCTCTCTCTCCCTCTCTCTCTCTCTCTCACACACACACACACACACACACACACACACACACACTCTGAATACTAGGTCAGATTCCAGAACTGCAATCTGTTGGGATGGAATCCCAAATGCAGGTCAGTGCGGTAGAACTCCCATGTAGGGCGGCTGGGCCTCTGCTAAGGCTGTATCAGTGCAAAGTCCCGGCCTGGAAAGCACACAACGAAGGCAGTGAGGCTGAGATCACCCTCCCAAAGCCAGTGCCCAGGGCTGAGCCTATCACCCAGGGCCCCTCCCCCAGAGCCCCGTGTTCTGACCCTTCCACCAAGCCCACTAGTTCCCCGGAATTTCAGACGACTGCAGAGGAAAAGCAGGAAATTCGAGAGAGGCAGGCAGAGGGGCTGTATCTGGGGCAAAGACGATGCCTAGTCCAGAGGAAGACCCAGGCTGAAGAGAAGACCCGGAACTGCAATCGGCAGTGAGCTGTGCTCCGCATCCTTGGTCAGTCCAGGAAGGCAGAGGGACCTCTTACCCAGCCGTCCCCAGTGTACTCTATAAATATTTCCCGTGAGGACTCAGTGACAAAAAGATCCCATGGCCAGAACATCTGGGAGATCCTGCACACTATCCCCCACTTTCAGCACAAAACCACACATTGATGCAGTCAGGGCCCTGAGAAGTCCTGCAGTAGTAAGGTGATTTCCTTTTGCTCATCAGCATTCCCTAAATATACACAAGTACTACACCCTCCTGCCTGCCTTTTTCTCAAATAAAACCTACTAACACCCCTTGGAACTGGTACCTCACAGAACCCACCGGCTTAGAAAAATGCATTTTATTTGTCTCTGTTTTGAGGAAGAAAACAACATTTTTTTCTTAAAAATAACTGAAATGATTCAATTTGGTGCCTTTTTGCAAAGAGCTATAATTGTAAGGAAAATTCACTTAATTGGCACAAACCTCTCAATCACCCATGGTGCCAGGAAAGTGAAATGTTACTGACCCCCTTTGGGCCATCTGGGCCACTGGTTGACACCAGACCACCATGAGAGTGCGGAGCCAGGGGTCACTCCATCCAGCCTCCTGCCCATGTAGAGCAGTACAAGCCCATCACATCAACTTCTCCAGGGAAGAGAGTGCCTCAGCAACTCTGTGTGTGTGTGCATGCCTGAGTGTGTGCACACACATGCACGAGGTCCAGCAAATATAACCATGCTCAAGGAACAAGTTCTCCTACTGCTCTTTCACCTCCATTATTTTGCATCTTGTCCATCCTCCTCCAGGTGACAACCCACCCAAGTAACCAAACCCTGTAATGGTTAGACCTGCCCACGGGCAGCAAGGTGACACAGACTGAAACATGTCCTTTCTCTCTTGGAAAACATTTCCTTTGCCAAGGTTTGGACCTTCAGAAGGGCTCGGGGTCATTACTGGGCTGGGGCCAGGGCATAGACGGGAGGCTCCTTCGAGGCAAAACAAATGCCCTGGGCCCTGGGAACATCCTATTCTCATCTCAGGACCAGCCAGCCCCGGAGAGAGACCAGCACAGTCTCCAGGCAACTGTCCTGGCTGCAGACACCATGGGTGATGGGGAACAGGGGCTCCCAGGACCTCACCTGGTACGTGTTGTCGAAGCTGTCGTACATGAACCTCGTGATCAGAGACGTCTTTCCGACTGTAAAACAAGAAGAGAGGGGGTAAGCCACGGCATCCGAGCTAGGTTCCTCTAAACACATTTCACATGAAGACAACGGATAACAAAGAAGCCCAAAGGAAAGATGAGATGCGGAAACAGAAGTGAAAGGCAGACCCTGGGAGAGGGACCCAGAGCAAGGCAGCCGAGTCTACACCGGCTGGGCTGCAGGGGAGTTCTTACCAGGCACCAAGAAGGCGGCCTGTCCCTGCCCTGTGAATTCTCACCACCCAACTCCAACATCTTACTTGGCCCACAAGAGTGTCACTGACGCCAGAGCCATATATGAAGAATTGGAGCAAGTGCGTGCAAGACTGATGCTCCTTTCACACTGGCCTACGTTCTCCGGGAAACACTGCCTTGTCATTGGCCACAGGCTGCGGTGGGGGCATGCTGTTCAGTTCTCATTCATTCAGCCTGCAGACTGCTGAGGAAGTGGCTTTCTAAGGAACCAGGCAGCAGGGGGCGTAAATGAGATGTTGCCCAGTGTCTCTCAGAGGCAGGACTATTTTTTGGAAGAGCATGCCTGACTGTCCAGCTCCTTGCCGGATGGTTAGCATCCCTGGGTCTCGCTGGGTAGGTTCCAGCAGGATCACAATGACAACCCTGGCTTCCCCCTCTTCGCCCGCCCTCATTTGCAAATGCCCTGAGAACCACTGCTAAGGCTCAGAGAACCAGGAAGTCTCTTAGGAATCCCAGAAGTGCTGCTTATCTCCCTAACTGCAGGGTTTGGCTTCTGACCCAACCCTGTGCCGGTCTCCTGGGGCCTGGCAGCGGCAGAAATACCTACTGTAGCATTTCTATTATCTGGGAGGGGAGGACGGGGAGGACGGGGAGGAAGGAACATCTGTTAGGTCAGGCCCAGAATGGAATGCTTCTCTACACTGTCCCATCAAGTCTGCCATGGCCCCGGGAGGCTCAGAAGGGACTGGCACAGCTGAGCTTGGCTCATAGTCCCTTCTGCTCCGGCTGCCAGGAACACACAACCCTGGTAGGAAAGCAGGAGACCAGCACCCAAGAGTTCTCCAATCTACCTCTCCCCGATTCTCGGACAGGATGTCCCCGGGCTCTACCTGGCGGGGTAGCTGGTCACTGCCTGAATGGAGCACGGTGACCCACGGGGCTCCTCTGGGCAAGGTCCTTCTCTGAGGCCTCAGTGGTACAACATCTAACAGACAAGGGCAGCCACCTCCTGTCAGCCTACAGCTGTAAAGGAAAGACAACAGTCTTCTAGCCAGAAGGAACATCTGTTGGACTGTGTTTGGGACAAATTTAGGTGTCTCCATCTTTGACCCGGAATGGGTCAACTGGATCCAAGTCCTGGCTGGCATACTGTTTAGCTCCATCATTCTGAGGTGGTCCCTGCCCTTCTGGACCTCAATGCCTCATTTGGACATAACATCAGAGACTTCCAAGGGCAGTAGTAGAAATGAAATCCTATATAATAAAGAGGTGATATGCAAATTGACCGTCATGCCCTCACAAGATGGCAGCGCCCACAGCAGGGGCGAGGCCGGCTACTCTGCGTGCCTGCCGCTGGAGTCCTCTCAGCCCTGCCGGGGGCCTCGGGTACTCCTGCACACCCCACTGACTGAGTCTCAGGCAAGCAGGGCCAGCAGAGGCGCAGGCAATCCTCGGGTGGTGGCTGCCCAGCTGCTCAGGGCTGGCCCAAGGCTCAGGTAACCAGGGCCAGCCAAGGCTTGCGCTGCCAGCAGTGGCAGCAGCAGAAGTGTGATGGGGCATCACCTTCCCCTGATCGCTAGGTCGCCTCCTGCCCCTGAGGGCTCCCGGACTTCCTCGGGTGGTGGCTGCCCAGCTGCTCAGGGCTGGCCCAAGGCTCAGGTAACCAGGGCCAGCCAAGGCTTGCGCTGCCAGCAGTGGCAGCAGCAGAAGTGTGATGGGGCATCACCTTCCCCTGATCGCTAGGTCGCCTCCTGCCCCTGAGGGCTCCCGGACTGTGAGAAGGGGACAGGCCAGGCTGAGGGACCCCCGCGCCAGTGCATGAATTTTCATGCACCAGGCCTCTATTAAGATAATAAAAGTGCCAGGCACACAGGAAATGCTTAACACTGAAAGAAGGTAGGTAGCAGGTAACAGCTGATACCACCACCACTACTGAATTCACCTTTCCCATCATGTCTCTTTATTTGGCTGTTCCTGATCCTTCTTCTTTATAATAAAACTGGTACCTTGCCGAAACCGGTTTGGCTCAGTGGATAGAGCGTCGGCCTGCGGACTGAAGGGTCCCAGGTTCGATTCCGGTCAAGGGCATGTACCTTGGTTGCGGGCACATCCCCAGTGGGGAGTGTGCAGGAGGCAGCTGGTCGATGTTTCTCTCTCATCGATGTTTCTAACTATCTATCTCCTTTCCTCTCTGTAAAAACTCAATAAAATATATTTAAAAAAATAAAATAAAATAAAACTGGTACCTTATAATCGTCTGGTGAATTATGGAGCCTGAGGAGGGTCATGGGAGCCCTTGGCTTTGTCGCCAGTTGGTCAGAGTGTGGTGTCCTTGGGAACCCTACGTGCGGCTGGCAGTCTTATTGGGGACTACGCCCTTAAACTGGGGAGTCTGACACCAACTCGGGGGGCAGTGCCAGGAAGGCCTTAAGTACCCCAGCTGGTGTCAGAAGAGCCACATTTCTGGAAGAACCTCTTTGGGGTGAGCAGTAATGCACCAAGGTCTCTTCTAATTGCAACTGAAAACTGTCCTTTGAAAAGCTATCGACGGGCATTTAATCTGTAAAGTACTTTCCAATTGCTTTAAATCTCCCCGTAAATTTCATATGAAGGTGGGAAGTGGGGGCTCCCCACCCAGAACAGCCTGGCTGGAGATTGCTAAGGGGACCCCAGCGTAAATCATGGAGCAACATTGAGCCAGCGAGAGGCAGACAAATGGGAGGGAGCACAGCTTCCTCCTTTTCCAAAAGACAATGGGAAGTTACAGCCTCCTCCTCGGGAAGAGAAGCATGCAGGGCCCACTGGTAACTTCCCTGGGCTGTGACACTCCCGCATCTTACTCCCAGGGGACAAGGGACAAGCACCAGGGAGCAGGGTGAGAAGGTGGGGAGATTCCTTTCTCTCAGGTTGTTCCCCGGGGCAGCTGAGCAGACAGACAGGAAAGACAGTGGAAATACAAAGTGGAACAGGAGGTTCGTGGAGTAGCTGAAAACTCAGAGATCCCCACAGGGTTTCCAATGCTGAGTTGCTCCTTCTTGGGACACCAGCCACTGGCAGTGGATTTGTACTGGCTCACAGGGTAGAAGGAGAAAATCCCAAGAAAAGAAGTTGTTTATTGGGACTGTCAGGAAGAACAGGTGTGGGGGCCTGGCCACAGCCAATATTTTCTGAACATTCCCACGATAACCATCACAGGCTACACGTGTGTTTATATAGCCTGTTCCAGGCGCACGCCAGGGGCCGTGCCAGGAGGATTTACATGACAGGAGTAAACAGAGCAGACGGGACACCTGCTGCCTAAAGCTGCAGGATTCCACGCCCGCAGCTATGCTGTGCTGAGCCCTCAGCACCGACCTGTGCGGTCCTCCACTCTGAAGCGGGTATTCGTGTCACCCCCACTTTCTACAAGGGGCAATGAGTTGACAGCCTCGTGCCCAGGCCCAGAGCTGAGTGAGGCCCGGATGAGGGGCCTGACCGGGAACGAAGCTCTGATTTCCAACTCATCTTAGCGTCTTTGAGTCAAACTGGGGTTCAGAGTCCTGCCCGGTCATTACTGTCACCGCTATGGCTATCCCGGAGGCCTGGGAACAGCCCCTGCCAAGCCCACACACCTCTTCCTTGGGGCCAGCTGCAGGTGAGGGCCTCTCCCCATTCGGAACGTGCTTGACCCAAACTGGGAGGTCAGACACTGGAAACTGAGGTGCCCTGTGGGGCCCAGGAGGGCTTCAACGCGAGGGTGGGCAGGTTTGAACACCGGTGGCCCAGCACCCCAACCGAGTCCTGGGCTGGATGACCTGATCATCACTGATTAGCTGCAAAAGGGAATCTCTTTCTATCCTTTTAGGCCAGTGGTTGGCAAACTGCGGCTTGGCAGCCATATGCAGCTCTTTGGCCCCTTGAGTGTGGCCACGAAGTTTCAATCGCACTGTACGTGCATGCCCGCACGTGGTATTTTGTGGAAGAGCCACACTCAACGGAGCCGCATGTGGCTTGCGAGCCGCAGTTTGCCGACCACGCTCTAGGCTGGTTTTCCTCATTTCTCAGGGCAGAAGTCCTCCTCCTCCCTGCCTCAGAGCTTCCCCACGACCAGCCAATCCTCTTTCCCAGATAATGGGGCTCAGACCCTTTATGAACCTGCCAGCTGGGCTACCTGCTTGGACCTGTCCGAGGGCTCGTCCTCCCTGCGGCAGTATCGCCACTCTCCACTGCAGGCACGGGGCTGGCGTGTCCTGACCCAGCCCCCAGCGAACAAGTCTGCCTGCAGGGCCACCACCCTGCCCGACCCAGGGCTCCAGGGCAGAACTCAGGGATGCTCAGGGACTGCAGCTCGCAGAGGAAAGCCTGGGCCACGCTGTCTGACATGAATGCAGGAAAGGCATCCTCCTCACCGTGTCTGGGAGGCTTCCTAGGGCCCCAAGACAGAGCTGATGAAAGGGGCCCCTTGCACACCACTGCCCAGGCTCCACCCTGACATCACATGAAGAGGCTGAGCGGGTAAAAGGGCTGTCCTGTGCCAAGCTCCTCTCCCCTCTGAAGGGCTGCTGCCCCTTCCTCACCCCATACCTGAGCAGGAGGTACTGGAACCCGGATATGGTGAGCTTGCACAGCCCATCTACCGGGCCACTTCCCCAGGCTCACCACAAAGAGCAGGAGAGGCTGGAGCCATCACCTGACTGGCCACTACCACTGGGCTGTAGCCAAGGGGGGATCCGAGAGGGGCAGTGACATTCAACCGGTGCAGATAGGGATAGGCGCATGGAGGGGCAGGAGACACTCCCCTGAGGTCCCTCCTGCCCCCCACCCCAGCCCCTGCAGCCTCTGAGAGAGTGGTCCTCCCCACAGGGCTCTGTTCTCAAGGTCACACTGGGCTCTGTTCTCAAGGTCACACTGTCCGGAATCCAGCTAACAACAGTCTGAGACACCAGTACGGCCGAGCTGAGCTTTTTCTGAAGGCAAAGATTCCACTCGACTGCCAGGATTTTATTAAAAACAAGCAGCCAAATCATTTGAGCTTTTTTTTTTTTTTAATCTCGGCTCTTGGCTTCGCAATATCCCTGTAGTCTAGTCCCACCTGATTAAGCAGAGAGATGCATTTTCCTTTCAACCAAACGAGGGTCAGACGATTCCTTACTGAGTATTTACCAGGAACCTCTAGAAAGAAGGAACAGGAACGCGATCGCCTACGGGGCTTTCTCTTAGAGCCAGACAAGAAAGCTGGTGCTTTCCTCAGGGCCCCTCGTTTGATCCTCGTCACGATCCAGTGAGTGAGTTACCATCCCCCAGGTCACAGAGCTGGTCAGCAGTGGAGCTGGCACACAAATCCAGATCTGACGCCAAAGTCCACGCCTCACACATGACTGCCACATGAACCCAAACCCGCCCAGGGCTCCGGGCCTTGGCTTGTGCCCAGGCCATGGGTGACGGCTGAGTGGCCCATGAGCCTCCAGATTCCCACGCTGACACGGTCTCCCTCTTTGAAGGCCCCCTCTTGGCCCTGCCATCTCCATAGCAGGTATGGGTGTGGGTGTGGGTGGAGAGATTGCCCTACCAGCCAGAAACGTAGGCAAGTGTGAGGCAGAGCACAAGAAGTTAGCTGGAGACTTCGTAGAGGGTCTGCCAAGGCCTGGCAGAGTGAGCACCACCCACGAGGTGCCCCCTTGCCCAGCCCAGCCAGAACCTGGGCCCACAATCTGCTCTCAGCCACCCGTTCCCATTGACCACCCACGCCAGCTCCGGGACACTGCTGGACAGACAGGGGGGTCCCGCCTGGTCCTCCTCAGGGTCACAGAACTGGCCCAGAATGGGAGGCAGAAAAGACCTGGTGGAACCCACTGCCATTTCCAGGCCACCATGGTGGGCTGCCCCCCTCTTAGATGCCTGGTAAAGAGTCTCTAAATCTTGGCCCATAGCCCCCACTTAAGCCAGCTCTAGGTCAGAGAGTGTCTGTAGTTGTCAGGAGGTGGCCCTGGAAAAGGCAAACCTGCTCTCAGGCCAGCAACCCACTCCTAGCCTGGGCTGGCCGACTTGGTTATCCCCTCAGTTAGTTCAGTTTGCAGAATACAGCCAGGATACGCAGTGAGTGCTGGGAGGGGCCTGCTCCGAGGGGCCCCGTCCTTGCCCTGCAGCTGAGAAGGAGGCCAGGACCACCCTGGCCCGGCTCCCCTGCTCCACAGGGGCCTCCGGGGAGGATGCACCATGCCCTGCAAACCTTTGCCCCAAAGCACCCCCCTTACTGGCCTTCCTGCGGGCGCACAGCCCCCGGCCCTGTGGTAATAAGACACCAGCCACATCTACTACCTGAGCCTTGTTTTCTTTTGTTCTGTTTTCAGAAAATAGAAAATCCAACTCCAATCTTGCAGCAAGGTGAGCAAGCCTGGAGGTCTGGGGGCCGGGCTCCCCCCTCCACACCCACCCTGCCACCAGCGCGCAGAAAGGTGGCTCCAGACCAGGGCTCTGCCAGCTCCTGCCCGGGTCCTGAGGGGCCGACTGGCTCACCGTAGGCTAAATGAGGAAACACGTGAAAAATCCCATTTCAAACGGTTCCCCCAAAGACTCCGACGGTAATTAAGAAATATGCAAAGCTCTTCATTGGACACTTTAATTAAGTGTGTTAATTCCCTTTGCCAGAGGACGCTCTGCCACCTGGGCCTCACTGAGAAGGGAGGAGGGAGGAGGGAGGAGGGAGGAAGGAGGACTGGTTACCTCCCACAAGCGCCCAGACAGGGGATTGAACCCACAACCTGGGTATGTGCCCTGACCAGGAATTTCAATGTCATATCTACCATTGCAATTCTCATTATATATTCCCAAGACACTGTTTTCCTA